TGGGGGGCTCTGACAGTGTACCTGGTGTTGGATGAGCAAGTGAATGGGACACTTGACATACTTGTGTTAACCTGCATTGTTTCCCTCTGTGAGGTGAGGGAGAAGTGGTGCTCTGGCTGCTGCCTTGCCAAGGAACAAGGTCTGGTCCACAAGCTGGTCAGCAGAAGCTTATTGCAATGAGAGGGCTGACGTGACCCAGGAGCTGCTACCTCGCAGGGTGCAGCTGACTGATGGGAATTTACCCCCATGAAAAGCAGAAATTAAGTGCTGCCAAAGCAGATATGCCCAGCTTCTCTCAGTTTAAAAATGCAAATTTTGAGTTGTTTGAAATATGACAACTCTTTCTCCTCTGCTTTAAGCACTGAACAGGTATTTACACTGAGGAGGATAGCAGGGGTCTGCTTGCCCAGGAGGGTACTTTCTGGGCACAGAGCCCTGATATACCTTGGCATGTATCCAAAATGCCTCATCTCTAAAACACACCTCATTGCAGTGACTATCATGGACAGGAATAAAAAAAACCCCACAAAACACATGCACACACTCCCCACCACCACTACCACCTTCGCAGGAGGAGATCCCTCATTCTCTCCACACAGGATTTAGTCTCCGTCATCAAATTCCTCTGCAGTTTTTCAGTTGCTCAGTTTACATTGCCTGGGCTCCTCGCCAGCCAGGCATCGCATCTCGCTCGCTGTCCACCCGGCTTCGCGCCTGCCTCCCGGCATCCCAGCCCGCCCGCTCCCCCTGCGAGCTCAGAGATGCAGTCTGGGCTCCTCAAAGCACCTGTTTTGCTGGAATCTGGTTTTGTCCCTAATTAGAATTGAATCAAACAGCTTCAAGATTTCCCCAATGGATGTTTTAAAGTTGGTTTCAAATATGATTTCAAATTACCGTATGAGAAGTTAAGCATTGTTACAGTTGTTTCTATTTTTAGGTCTCTGAAAACAGATAGCAAAATACTGATGACATCAGCACTTAACAAATGTCAACTTGTTTCACTACCAAATGGATGCTGTGTGGTCTAAAAAAGGAAATTAAAACCTCAGACTGTAATGTATAGCTTGTATGTGTGATAATGTAAAGCTTATTGAATATTGTGGTGGGGATGGACTAGACAGTCTCTGGAGGTCCAGAGAAAGCCTTTGATGATTATCTATGTTATTCTCAAACATCAGTAGTGGTAGTAAAGCGGCCTGAAATAGCAAGGGAAATATTGACATCAGTGAAAAATTCTCTACATAAAATTAGGAGTGAAACATCAACATTCTCTGAAATCCTTTTTCTTAAATGAAAAATTTCTGCCTAATTTTTTTGTTTAAAATTTGATGAAACCAATGCAATTTCTGACAAAAAGTCATTAGGAGGAAAAATATATTTAATTCAGCCAGTGCTATCCAGCTCTTCCTCAGTATTTTATTCACCTCCCTCAACTACCCAACAGCCAATTGCTTTGTCTTTGGGTGTAGCTCCTTTAAGCCTCCCTTCATATTGCAGAATTTCCACATCATTTTAGCACTTTCCTGCAGTGTGCCACAGGTGACCAGCTCTCCTATGCTTCACAGGCACTTTTAATTCCTGCAAAGTGTTTTGGGGGCCGGGTGAGTTCAGGCACCATCACATCAGGTTACATCTCCTAGAACCCTGTCAGCTCTGCTGGTTTGCATCCTCCTACCAGAATGATGGCAATGATAAGAGTACCCTCTGGGCTGGATCAGGGCTCCAGGCCCCCGTTTAGCCTACTGGGATTTATGACATCTGCTGAGGCATTGGGAAAGGAGGTAGGGAGCACCAGTCCCAACTCCAGCCCCACATCACCACCCCAGCACAGCCTGCTGCTGTTTATACATTCCTTTTGTTGGAGACCTGGCAATCAGCTTTTAATCCAAGCCCAGTGTGAACTAATTTTGGAGTAAGCTTTTGTATCAAATGCTTTCCTAAGATGTAACTATACTACATCTGCTGCACTCCCTTCATCCACTAATTTGCTAATTCTACCAATCGTATGCTTTTCCGACACACACCTTTCACAATGGAGCAGAGGACTAAAGGGCTTCATTTACTCATGCAAACAAGTTATCTGAAGCCTGATCTTGTTCTCACTGAAGTCAGAAACAAAATACCCACTGAATTCCACGTGAGCTAACTTGGACCTTGGAGTCTCATCCAGTGCTCAAGCCTGATCCTGCCAGTCACCTGAACACTTGCTGAAGGCGGGGGCCTGCCAGGGTGTCATCCTCCCCGGTCTCTGACATCAGAGACTGCTGGAAAGAAAAATGACTATTGTGCCACAAATAGCATGATTGAGTCACTTTGCTACGGGACCAGCTCAAAGGAGGGGGAAGTGACTGGTGAGAAGGTAGCAGGAGAAGGACCGGAGCTGTGATATCTTGCTTGGGGAAAAACAAACAGGCAAACAAATGAAAAGAAACAGAAATTGCTTCCTTTGGCCTTCTTCCATCAGGGCAACTCCATTTTATGAATCTATCAAAAAAATGCAGGCAAAGACAAGAACAGGCTTCAAAACACAGGGAGGACCTGCACTTTCCTTCCTGTTTGCAGGACAAGCATGGCTGCATTTTTACAAAGATAAAGGGAACACAGGTGAATATTCAATTACTGTTTTCTTACTTGCTAACACCTGCTGTGCACGTGGCTATGTATTTTGGAATAGGATCACCATTATTTGCACATGCAAAACTGCATCAGCAAAATCGCAGGTGCAGGAGTCAGTACAGAAAGCAGCCCTAGAGAAAACCTTGCCCATACCACTATGAATAAAGCTAGAGGGACTTCAAGCATTCAGGGCACCTGGCTTGTCCCCCAAAACCCCAGTGGATACTAAAAAGTATACTAAATCCATCCATCCTGACCTGAGGGACAGTTCAGGAGCTGCAGTTACTCAGTGCTTCTTTTTTGCAATTGCCATTTTCTCCAGGGGCAAGAGAGCAGCTTCCAGGAAAACCAGCCAAAAGTTAATACAGCACGGGCAGCTCTTACTATGGCCCTGGAAATCACAGGGGCAAACAGCTGTCATTTTCTTTCTTTTGGCTTGGATGCAGTTTTCCTCATCTCACCCATTTACACAGGCCATGTGAGGGAGCTGAGCACCTTTCCCCACACTGTTGCTGGGTGGGAGGGGATGTGAAGGGAAGGGACAGCACAGGAGCTGCTTGCACATTGTCCCAGCCCAAGCCAGCTCAAGTGCAAACCCTCCAAGGACTTCCATTGCCTGTCGCCTGTGCTGCAGGTTCACACTGCTCATGATTTGAACTGACTAAATGTCAGTTGATAAAAATATACTAGCATTTCTACTTCTTTCGCTGTGCAGGTGTGTGCAAAGATTTCCCACCAGCCTGGGGGAGGCAGCTCTATGCTCAGGTGGGCTGGCTCAGCACCAAAGAACAGCCTGAGCTTAACACAACACTTTGCCCCTTCCTTCCCAACAGGCTAAATTGATGCTCCTACCAACTCCAAGTCAAAGCTTCTTCTTGCCTAGCCTTCATTCTTGTTTTAACACAACAAGGAAGTTTGTGGTAGTCAGCTGTGGGAAGGCTGCAATCTTTCAGGTAGGTCAGTGAAGCTGCCTCAGGGTTCCATGGCAGTATCAGTCAAACAAGATCACTGGCCCAAGGTAGAGAGATGGATGTACCTGTCCTGGGAAGAGAGAGGCAGAACTGGGACAGAGACACACAGTTGGGCTTGTTGCACCTTTTACTCCCTCTGGGCCTGGAGCAAGAGGCATCCACTAATTGGAAAGAAAAAGTAGCACATACATCACCCCACGTAGCGCAGCCTGTCCCTCAGCACCAGCAGTGACTGCTGCTCTTTTGGCTTCCCAGGGTTCTGCATAGGGAAAGCACAGCCACATTGCTGCCCTGGCAAGATGATGTCCTGTGCAGCCTCCTACTTCGCTATGCCTACACCCAGCCCTATCCTCCTCAAAGCAGCACTGCTACTTAAAAAGCAGGAAAAAAAAATCATTAAAAAAAAAATCAGACTTTGTCACAAAACACGAAGCAGCAGAGGAGCTGATACTGTAAATGGGAAGGGTGGGTGTACCCTCTTTGAAGGGGAAAGGTCTTTCCTCCCCCTTTGCTGCGCTGGTACATAAGCCCAGACCTGCTATCGCAATCGTTTGTGAATGTGGAGGCAGGTCTAAAGCCAGCTGTGAATTTTGGTAGTCAAAAAGGGAAAAAAATATCCTAGGAGAAAAGCTCAAAGCAGACAAATATAGGGTTCAGAAAAATCATTGCCTAGATTTCAGCTAGAGCATCCAAAACCTTCATTCTTACCTGTAGCTGCAAACTCCCCTTTTAGTCTTCTGTCCCCTCCATTTAATTTTCTTACCTACCCTGGCATCTCTACATAGCCAGATAACACAGTAAGGCCAACCTTTGTCACCTCCACCACACACAAGCGCAGCACTTTCAAAGGCTGTAGACTTGCCTACATTAAGTTATTCAAGATACCACAAAAAACCTCCTCACTGAGGACCATTCCCCTACTACATATCAACTTTCAAGCCTCAATCTTCAGAATTGCTCTGGTAGAGAGACTTTTTTTTAACAGTACAAAAACACATCTCCTATCTCATACTAAAAAATGACTAAAGTGATTTGACTCAAATGCTACAGAAATTCAGCCTTAGATACAAGAGTAATGAAGTCTCATCTCTATAGGCCAAAGCTGCAGAAAATTATAAGCAACTGAAAATGAGTGTTTCAAATGGAAGTGTTATGCAACGTGAATGACAGTGACCTGAAATGCTCAGAGCAGACTATTCCTATCTCCAACATTTGTCTATAGCAGCACAGGAAACTTAAGAGGCCTGAAGGAAACAACCATTTCCAGCTCAGAGAAAGACCAGGTACTTAAAACTGTGCAACACCTGATTATCCTTTGGGCCCCTGCCTTACCAGAATACCTTTGGAAATAGGGGAAATTCAGATGAGGTGTCATTCTCAACCCCAACCAACAGTAATTTCCCTTAGACTTACCTCAGGCCATACAGGACAGTCCCATCAGGATGGAGCCGAATCATGCGATTTTTCACTGTCACCCCATGCAGAAAGGACTTCTTGTCGTTCAGAAAATAGGTGTCAGGCAGCCACAACTGGTCAGCCACTCGGTTGTCCAAGGTCAGGTTGAGAGGAAGGTCATTATATGCCAAGCGTTTGTCCCGCCAGCTCTGCTGGAAGTACATGGTGATGGTGTAGTCCTGGGAGAGAAACATGCAAGTGTCAGCCTGGCCTCAGGGTAGGGACATAACTCTGTCCCTTCACTACTGTCTCTGTCAAGACTTTTGGTGGGTCTTCAAATTCCTTGTCACTCAGCAAAACCAGTAGTAGTTAGGATCACAAAAGCCCTAGAAGTCAACAGTGAGCTACACCATGCCAACAACTTCAAGGACTGATCACCCAATTAAGTCATGTAAAGGTGTCTGGACATAATGCAGTTACACTCAGCCACAGCTTGTTACCACACAGTTGGTAAAAGCCAATTTTATTTGGACCATTCCCCTACTAGATATCAGCTTTCAAGCCTCAATCTTCAGAGCTGCTCTGGTACAGAGATTTTTTTTTAACAGTACAAAAACTCAGGAGATTGACAGTACAAAAACTCAGAAGATTCCCAAGGGCACATGGAGAATCTCACCTCAAGGCCAAGGTTTCAAAGTCAACCCAGGCCAGCCGTGACAAGCTATTAGCACTTGCTTTGTTATATGAGCTAAGTTGGGAGTTCATTGTGATTCTCAGGAAGGGACATATGTGGAGGAAATCTGTCACCAGTGGAGCGTGATCCACTGGTAAAGGGGCAGTTCCCTAACCGTTTGCAGCTATCAATACCGTACATAGCTCCTGCTCCTCTCCTGTTCAATAGTAAAAAGTTGACACTTTAAACTGCTGCTAAAATAAGGATTTTGGAGAGGGCAGGGAGAGCTGTTTGGTGACCCACAGCTGCAGCTCTGCAGAAATCATACTAGTTGCTGGACAGTAACAGCACATCCAGGAGAGATCCAGAGGTCCCAGATCAGCTTGTTCAGAGACACCGTATTGTGGTACCATGCTAGAAGAACAACTATTTCTTCTCACGTAAACAAGTAGTACAGGAAAGGGTCTTGTACACACCAATGACAGAAAACATTCTCACAACAGATCTTAAATAGGCTAGGAGCCAAGATTTTTGGGGGTAAAACAGGTAACATTAAAATAACAAGATGTTGATTAGGAAGTGGGCACAAGTCTTGCTCACAGTGACCTTACAGAAGCCAGTGATTTTTTCACAACTCCTTAAATAAAAAGCATTTTTGCTAATGCATGCAAATTACCTAGAACAGATGGGGCCAGAGAAGCATTGTTTCTTCCCAAGCAGATACCTACAGTGCCACAGGAATCCTCCTGACCAAACAAATTTGCATGATGGGTGTTGCAGCTCTGTGCAAGGGGCTGGTGAGGACCTCGCTCACACACTAACATCTGGGCTGAATATGGAGGCATCCTGCCTGCCTGTCTTCTCCCACTGACTTCACTCGAAACCAGGTTTGATTAGCACTTCTGAAAACAAGCTCAAATAATCACACATTATGAGTATGCCAGCTTTCGGATATCTAACTATGATTCAGAAATCTAGATCCGCATGCATATCCAAAAGGTCACAGAGTAAATCTGTGGTGTTGACTGGATACAAAAACTATATCTGTCATTTTCTGTGTTATATTGAAAAGAACAAAAACACAGTGACAGCTTTCTGGCCAGTAAACTATTTTGCTTTGCTTTTTAAAGGACTGCTAAACTCCTGCCTCAGAAACCTCACAGTCCATCTCTTGGGGGCACAAATATTTTTAACTTGGTTAAGACCTTACAAAGGAAAATGATCTTCCCAGGACCCCTCCAAAGGTGTTTGGCTCTGCATTGCAGTGAGAGCACAGAGGAGCAGAGCTCCTGAATTCCTAGAGCCTCTTACCCTCCTTGGTAAAAGACTCTTCCCTTGCCTGTGGGAAACTCGGCTACATAGGCATCATTTCCATTGTCCCTCTTTGAGAACTCCACCCACACATCTTGGCAAGTTGCTTCATTGACCTGCATTTTTCTAATCCTTTACAGAGCCCTGCAACACCTCACCCCTAACCAGGCCACTCTGCTGTCATTGCAGGCTCCTGCCAGCCTTCAAACAGCAGCAGACAAGAGATGGCACTGATTTCCAAAAGTCAAAAAGTACAAGCTTCTTCCAAAGTGAGCAGTCATTAGCACTTAAGAGATACACCTGCTAAACACATCTTCTGTATTTCCAGGATTGATGGGAACAACCTCAGAAGGGTGCAGAAATAAAATCCTACACCTTAGCCATCAGGTGGATGATGTTCTTCAGGTGCAGAGGCCTTTCTGGGGAAGAAAAGCCAGCCCAGCCCTGGGCTGAGCTCTGTTCTTCAATCTTTCTGGGCATCTTGGCACAATAGATTTCTTTGGGTAGCGTCATGGAAGTCTGGAACACTTGGTAGTCTTGGTTCATCTAGTGCTTGGAGTCCCCCTCAGCCCCTCTCTCTGCTGATTCCTGTGCTTCACATTCTCCTGCTCTCCCTATCACACCACATTGTTGAACATTGATCAGGATTTCTGGGCAGAAGGAAAAGAGCAGGACAAGTGTCCACCCCACAGAGGTTGGTCCTCCCTGGGAGAACAGGTGCTGCTGACATAGTGATGGGCACAGCACTGAACTATAGGGAACAGGGATACTCTGCCTCTAGGTCCCTGGGAGAGGGCAGAGCACAGACCAGGGGGCTGGAAGAAGCACTGATACAGCCCACTACAGCAAGTGAGAGGGACCAGTACTCAGGAGAGGAAGCAGTGAGCTTGCCTTCCCCTTGGAACCCCATAGTCTGGTCAGGCAACTATAAAGTACCCATGTGACTCTCTAGCATCACCACCTGGCCAGGCTCCAGAGCTGATGAATCTTAATCATAGCCTTCCTTTCAGAGGCAGATAAAATAATGACCAAGGGTGACATCGTTCTGCAGAAGCAGAATGGCCAGATGGAGCCAATACATGCAGTGGTTCACAAGTTCAGGAATCAGAAGTAATGAGCTTGATTTTCTTTTAAGTCTTGAACGACAAACCCTTTGTTGTAGGGTTTTATCTGTCATTGGGCTAATATGAGGCTTTCCCAAACCTCCCAGTAACCAGTGATATTCACAAGCCTACTAATGCCCCAGGTATAGCACAAGCTAGGTTTCCTGGCATCACCAGCAGATAGAAAGTTGGCCCATTTACCAGGCTCAGTGAAGAGCTTCAAAACTAAACACATCTGGCGCCCATGCACCCTTCCAGCTCACCACTGAAGCACTTTAGCAGGACAACACAGATGAATGTCCCTGCCACCTGTGCTAGGGATAAGTGGGGTGGCTTTCTCTTCACATGTGTACCCAGTAAGCAGCTTTGTCCACTGCTGTTGCTGGAGGAGCAAGCAGGCAGTGCAGGCAAATGTGACTTTCCACTTGCCTCTAAACTAGCAGCCTAGACCTTCACCGCACTGCACTGGTGTGGCTCCAGTAGCAAGAAAAATGCTTACAAATTTCCTGTTATGGATTCCACTGGGTCTTTCCAGAGGACCATAAAATGCTCAGGCAGTACTGGCCAAGGCCAGTCATTGCTATGGCAAGAAAGGGAGAGGTTTGCAGAGAGTTCCCAGCTCACCCTGCCAGGTACACTTACTGCATCAGGAAGAAAAGGCAGGACCCATGCTGGAGGGAGCATGCATGTGCCAGGCCACCCTATGCAACCTCCAAATTCGTCAGGTGGATACTGGAGGAGTAGAGGCAAGCATGGAGGAGGGGAGATACCACTCCTCATCAGAAGCTCCGTGCAGGCTGCACTGCAAAGACCTTTGGAAATTGTTCAATGTGAACTTAAAATTCAGTTTTTTAAAAAATGAAGGGGGTTTCTGAAGGTTGGACATGACCAGAAGTTATGTGCCTGCACCTGGTGCTCTATTTTCTACCCCCAGGAAAATCAGCTTTTCCAGAGATACCTGCAAACCTTCTCTAGCTAGGTTTTGCCACCATAGCTTAACTGCCCATGTCAGCCTGTACCTACCCTGACCAGCATCCCACTGTGGGAAGCTGAAACACTGTAGTCAACAGCACTGGCAAGGAGAAAGCCTGTTTCAGACCCAGACAAGCCCTACCAAGTCTCACTGACCTACAAATCATGTGCCAAAAGAGCTTGTGTGTTTCCAAAATGCTGCTCCTCTCTCCTCCATCTCTGCTGGCTCAGCAGCGGCCAGATCCCTTGGTTTGTCCCAGAAGTCTGGTACCCAGTAGTTCACAAGCTGCATAGCTCCAACACTGCCCTCCTTGCCTTGCAAGGAAGACCTCATGGCCCAGCTGCACACAGGACCACACTCAGCACTACAGTTCCTCTTCAGCCCCTCACAAAGCCGAGATGGCACCTGAGCCTGCCAGAAAGCTGCTCAGCATGACCATCCCCACGGGACCCCCCTCCCATGCCTCCATTTGATCTGCTCTGCCAAGCAGCTCCTTGCGAGCTGTCAGCCCCAGCCTCCTTTGCCTCCCCCGCTCCCAGGTTTTGCAAAGGCTTTGTTCTCTTTTCCTCTCCTCCTTCTTGCTGTGTGTGACGCACAAAAAACAGAGGTGAGAGCAACACGTGGAGCCAGCAGACACTCGCGTTACAGAGGTGCCTCCTTGCAAGGAGGGAGGACAGCTCACTTAGAGGCCCACAAAAGCCCCATAGAAGGAAAAGTAGCTTAACTGGGGGCCTTACATGCTGAAATAACAGTGCATCCTACCAGCTACCAAGGACGGGACTGCTAGCATCCATCTCCAGACAAGAGAAGGAGACTAATAGTCACAGCCTTTCCTGAAGCTCAGCAGAAACCCCAACCCCAAACCAAAGATGTTATAAGAGGACTGAACAATGAAAAGCTGAGGTGTTGACATGAGAGGGACATGGACAGAGGA